TTTGAGGGGATCACAGGGAAGGGAACTATCAGGGGAATTTTAGCATTGTTTTGCAATCCCCAGAAATAACCAGTGAGAATGTTTACTTTTATTCTTACTTACTACTATTACAACTTATTAATAAGGAAATAGTCCAGTTGTAAACATTTTACCAGAAAAGATTAAAAGAGGATGGCTTTTTAGCCAACAGGCACATGAAAGTATGCTCTATCACTAGTCATTAGGGAAATACAAATCAAACCACAATAAAATACTGCTTCATTCCTATTAGGATGTCACTGTGATCCAATATCTTGCTTGCTTTTATGTGAAAATGGATAAACGTGATAAGCATCGGTGAGGATATAAGTTAACAAAAGCCCATGTACATTGCTATGGCAATGTAAAGTGGAAAACCATTTCTGGGTATCCAAGAGAAATGAAAATAGATGACTATACATAGACTTCAACATGAATGTTTATGTTGGTATTATTCATTTATAGCCTAAAGTAGAAATGATGCAAATGTATAGTAAGTAACAAATAAACAAAATGTAATGATGAAGAAGAAGAAATTGCTGATACATAAATATTACATGGATGAACCTCAAAAACATGCTAAGTAAAGGGAGCTAGACATAATGTCACATTACTCCATTTATAAGAAATGTTTGGAGGGCTTCCCTGGTGGCGCAGAGGTTGAGCGCTGGGTTGTGAAGCTGCCTGCAGCCTCTGCGGCGCCGGTTCCATCCCTGGCTGCTCCCCGGCCACCGGAGGAGGGTCCCCCATGGCGCACAGGCCTCTCCTGCCGCCCGCTGCTCCCCTCAGCAGTGTGCTTCGGTCCTTCTGCCTGCTCTGCTCCCCGCTCTGGCTCTGGTGAATTCTCTCACCCTCCCACACTTCTGACTGTACCCAGTGCTTGTATAAATAAAATAAATAAATCTTAAAAAAAAAAAAAATGTTTGGAAAAAGCAAATTTATAAAAACAAAAGGTTAGTAGTTGCCTGTCACTGTGAGTAATAATGATGATTAACTGCAGATGGACACAAGGGGATCCTATTAGAATAATGAAAATATTCTAAATCGTATTAAGGTGATCCTCAGTAAATTTACCTAAAAATATAGAATTATACACTACAATGAGTTAATTAACTCTATGGTATGTGAATACATCAGGAAAATTGTTTTTAAAGAAAGATTTTCAGTCCGAAGGGTAGGAAACTTTGGGGAAGCTGTCCAACAACTATAGAAATGAGGATGCTCGTTAGGATTATTCTTTCATAAGAATCAGCAACAGGGCCTCCCCAGTGGCACAGCAGGTTGGAGCGCAGCGCTGTGAAGCTGTCCACAACCTCTGCAGTGCAGGTTCGATCCCGGCCTGCCAGCAAGAATCCCATATGGCGCAGCAGACCTCTCCTGTCGCACCTGCCGCTCCCCTCAGCAGTGTATTTCGGTCCTTCTGCCTGTTCTGCTCCCCTCTGTCTCTGGTGAATCCTTTCACCATCCTGTGCCTCTGGCCTGTACCCCAGCTCTTGTATAAAAATAAATAAATCTTTAAAAGAAAAAAAAAAATCAGCAACAGCCTCTTTGCTTTCAGTGTTATAGGTAGTTGTAGTGCTCAAAGAAACATCTTTGAAAGCTGACCGTAGATCTGAGGCATCCAGAGGGGAAAGGTGAGAATGGGACGGGAGGAGAAAACACATTGGACTATGGTGGAATACTATGGTGCTTTGGTGGTTGGAGAGCTACGTTAACAACTTGAGGGGTGAAATCCTATACTGTCAAAATACTAACAAGTTTATAAAACAATTGTACCTCATTAAAAACTAAAATTTAATTTTTTTTTAAATTCAGGCAGTTCTGTAGCCTAGGATCAATAAAAAAATAAAGGGAAGTAAATAAGGAAAGAGGAAGGACAGAAGAAAAAGGATGTGTAAAATAATTGATTCTAGTGTCAGACCATTGAGTGGTAATTTCAGTTCTGCCTTTACCACCTACTGGGTGTGTGTCTGAAGCCAGATAATTGTCCTCTCTGTGCCTCGGTTTCTTCATCTGTAAAATGGGTATAATAATATTACCTACCTCAGAGTTAGTATAAATAAATTAGTTATTTAGTAATTAGTTATTAGTTAGTATAAAATAAATTAGCAGAAGCCAAGTGACTAGAGCAAAATAAACATTAGATTTTTTTAATGCTGTAATCATCACCATCATCATCAAATATGCCTGGCAGTCCTGCTATTTACTATTATCCCTCCGTCTAATAATTCCACCTCCTCCACAGAGAATAGAATTGCTGTCTTTCCTTTCAACCCCTGTCTTATTAATTAGAGCTAGTGTCTACTCTGATAGTTTCACTGAAATGGAACATTGAGTGACTTCCATATTAATTAAATTGAAATTTTGATCATCATCTTGACATTTTCCACATTTTTTGTTGAACATTTTCTGTTGCTTAAATACTTTTTCTTGTAGTCTATAAAACACTATTTTGGCTTTTTCCCAACCCTTTGACCTTTGTAGGCGCTAAGGCATATTTCTCTTTTCTTTATATTATATTATCTAGGAGACTGATAATATAATATAAAAACATATCTATGGTATGCTTTTCATTTATGCTTAGGACTTTGCTTATCTATATATTATTGGTTCTCAAATTTATATTTCTACTCCTGAGTTCCAGACTCTTAAAATCTATGTGCCTACTCTGTATCTTCACTTGATTGTCTCAAGAGCATTTTATAGTAAATCCAACATATCTAAAACATAATTAATGATCTCCACCTCAACCTCCTAATGACCCTCCTCCAAATAACACCCATTCTCCTTTGTATTACCTCTTTTTATACCATCATTATTTATTATTTTGCTTCCACTAAAGAACAAGGGAATAATTTTTGACACCAGGTCGTGGTCTCTTCCTCTGCTCATGATATCCAGTCTACCGGGGATTGAACTGGCACTGCAGAGGCTGCGGGCAGCCTCGCAACCCAGCGCTCAACCACTGCACTGCCAGGGGAGGCCCTGTTTCTTTTTTTTAATCTGTCTGCTTCCTTAGGATAAGGTACTATCATCTCACATTCACATTAATACATTAATCTACACACTCTTCTCCTCTATGTTTCCTACCTACTTAGATCATTAAAATTTTACTTTAAAAGAATCAATTTGCCTTCAACTTTTCCCTTTAATATAACTAGTACTACTTAGGTGGGAACTAGTGTCATCCGAGAATAACAATAAAATTCTGCAGTCAGTGAATTTTTTATCTTTTTGTCCCATGCTATGACACCATGATCCTTTAACATACTTCCTCCCACCCTAGGACCTTTGAATGTGATCTTCTGTTTACCTAAAACCTAGGACTCCTGTGAGAACGTGTCCCTAAACTCCTAGACCATATGACATACCTCTGTTACATATTCTTTGCACTTTCTACCTCTCCTTCATAGTGCTTTGTTAAAATTTTAACTTGTTATTCTCTCCTTATTTGACAATATCCCTGACTAGACTGTCACTTCCAAGGGTACATAGAACAAAGTCTATTTTTGATATCACTGCATCCTCCAGCACCTAGTACAAGCAACTGTCATAGCAGATGCTCAGCAATTGTTTTTATATTAACATATTTGATTACCTTCGTATTGAGTCTTTATGATTTTAAGGATCTTTGATTCATTGTCTTTTTGATTTTTATGTCAATTTTTGATTGATTTTTTTTAATTTTTTTTTTTTATAGAGGCATGTTTTATTTATTTATTTGTTTGTTTGTTTGTTTTGCACTGGGTAGAGTCAGAAGCGTGGGAGGGTGAGAGAATTCACCAGAGCCAGAGCCGGGAGCAGAGCAAGCAGAAGGACCAAAGTACACTGCTGAGGGGAGCAGCAGGCGGCAGGAGAGGTCTGCGCGCCATGCAGGACCCTCCTCCGGTGGCCAGGGAGCAGCCGGGGATCGAACCGTTGCCGCAGAGGCCGCGGGCAGCTTCGCAACCCAGCGCTCAACCACTGCGCCACCGGGGAGGCCCATTTTTTGATTGATTTTTATGTCAATTTTTTTAATTTATTGAATGTTATGGTATACTTTTCAGATAGTACCGTTTTCTCTTTCTGAATTATTACAGCTCTCTTTTGCTTACATATAGTTTGATGGAAATGTTGCATGTTAGTTCATCTTTCAAGTCGGTTTTAAATGACCTAGGAAAGATTGATGTGTGAAGAAATTCCCATGAAAACCATTTTGTAATATAATCATCCACTATTATTTCAAATTTTTTAAAGTGTAATAATTAATTTAGGGTATAATTTTCCAGCACAAGCACATTTGTAATTGTTTCTATAATTTTATTTTATTTTTTTTTTTTTTACTCTGCAGGGGTTTTTTACAAAGTGACTTCTTTGTACTGGATATGATCTTGATATGAAGCTTTTACTGGATCTAATCTGTCATTTTCATTTTCATCTCATGTAGCAGATGGTTGTTACAGTAGAAAAGAGCTTTGGTTTAAGTCTAAGAGCTTAGCTGTTGATTTCATTTGACTTATTTACAGAAAAAAAAATATACATATATACACACACACACACACGTAGATGTTATATCTCAATATACTTCCACAAAAGTATTTCTAAGTGTAGTTTTTTAAAAAAAATTCTTAATTTTTCAGCTCCATTAAATGCCAAAACCATGTGACATTATAGAAAAGACAGTTATTTGTGCTAGTTGGATTATATTCCTGATAGTGATATGAGCACAGCTGGTGAAGGATGGTGTTTCTGTGAGTCTCAGAAAATCCTTTGTCTTATGCAGCTCTAATGCTCAGGGGACACACTTCACTTTCTTCTGACCAAAATAGTTGACTGCCAATGATGTTGGAGGTTGTGAAGTATGGAGTGCAGTTCCATCCCTTTGTAAGCCTCTATAGTTGATGCATTCAAAACTTTAAAAGGAGAAAGAAAAAAAACCAAGCTGTGAGCTAAGGAAGCATTCAACATTTTTGTTTGTAACAATGTTAATTCCATATTAACAGAGGTCATCTCAGAGCAAGCATGAAGCCGGCTCACCTTCTGAGCGGCAGAATGAAGGTCAGGGAGTGGCAGAAATGAACATAGCAACGTCTGGTAGTGGTCAGGTAAGTAAACCATTTTATTGCTTTGTTTTGTTTTTTAACTTAACGATTTAAATTCTTTTAAAGGACTGTGAAGTGGAATGGTTCTCAGAATAATCTATAAGTTTCCTTATTCCTGAAAGAATAGCTCTAGGAGAATTTAGTATCAAAATACTATCATTTTATTACATCTAGCAATTATGCCTTCAAAATTCCTAAGTATGTTTTATAGTTGTAAATTGTGTGTTTCTATTTTAGTCAAAAATGATTTGTGTGAATAAGTTTTTTTTTTTTTTTGAAAAATAAATACTAATCTGTATGTTTTTTGGTTATATATGTGATGTGACCTAGTTATTATTTCGTGCAGTGAATATATGTGCTCTTTCTGTAATGAATTCTTTGCAATATATATTTTTTGTTCTTAATTAATCATAAGGACTTTGTTAGAGTTCTTATTTTCTGTTGTACTTAAGATTATATCCATTAATCTTATTGAAAAAAGTTACTCTAATATTCAAAAAATTAAAGAGATATATCTTAATCAATGTGTAACTGTTAATCACATTGTTTATATTATAAAAGTTAAATTGATTTTGTTTATAACTTGTTATGCTTTCATAAATTATTTTGTTGGAATGCATCCTAAAATGATAGAATTGGGATGAGAGGTATCTGTCTTTTCCACATTTCTTTTCAGTGAATATTCTTATCTTGTATATGAATGATTTTTAACAGTTTCACTAAATTGATTTTAAGTTAATTTTCCTGCTGTTGATATAAAATACTCCTTTAGTATCTGTAGATTAGTTTTGATGATAATTATTATAAGAGCACATGCCTTTATTCATTAAAATTTAAATCAAAATGTCTCATATTTAAGTATTTAATTTTACAGAGTGAAAACAAAGAGAGACTTCATTTTAGAATTATTAGTAACACTAAAACTCTTAGAGATGGCAAATTAGGAAAAAAGAAATTATATTAAAATAATACATTGAAATTTGTCTATTATTTGGGAATTTTATGCATTCCTACATAGTTGTAGGAACAAGAAAACTTCTTTGCTTAGAATCAGACCTATTAGTGCTTTGGGTCATACTCTAATTATTAAGTACTGTCCAATCAATTGGCTATCCGCTTAAAAAAGAGCAATTTAATCAATTATTTCTTAAATAAGAATTAGTCAGAATAAATTTTAAGTAAACTAGATTTAGTGTCAAAATAAAAACCTAAAAATATAGATAGATTAGAAGAAATATTGGTATTTAGGCTGAATTTTTTTTATGATATGGATAGAAAACTATAAAAGAAGAAATAAATGGATTTCACTTAAACATTTATAACTTCATTATGCCATAAAATCCTAACAGTTTGGAAAACAAAACAAAAATCATATTGTTTGCAAATGTGTATGATTAGGAAAAAGAAAATTCAAAATTCATAATGATATTTGCAAATCAGCTATTTAAAGATCTTTAAGATGTCAGCAAAGGATAAACAAGGACTAAAAGAAAGAAAAAATCATTTGTAAGCATATGAAAAGATGATCAATTCTATTAGTAAGGATGTATAAATATAAACTACAACCAAAATGAAGTTTATTTGGAGGCCAATAGTTGGCAAGGATCAATAGCTCTCAGTATTGTAAGTTACCAGGAATTCTCATATACTGCTCTTAATTGTGTGAAACAACAACCTTTCTGAAGACAAGTTTTGTAAAATATATCAAAATCTATCATTTGCTTTCTCTTTGGCTTATCATTACAAATCTAAGAGTTTATGTTAACTGAGGTAATCAGTTAATAATTGTCAGACTTTTTTTTTTAAAGATTTATTTATACAAGAACCGGGGTACAGGCCAGATGTGTGGAAGGGTGAGAGGACCCACCAGAGGTAGAGCGGGGAACAGAACAGGCAGAATGACTGAAATACACTGGTTAGGGGAGCAGCGGTCGAGACGGAGAGGTCTGCGGCACCATATGGGTACCTCCACTGCTTGCCGGGATCGAACCTACACTGCAGAGGCTGCAGACGGCTTCACGGCGCTGCACTCAGCCGCCTGCACCACTAGGGAGGCCTATGTCAGACATTTTTGAAGAGATTTATAATAATATTATTTTAATAGCAAAAATAGAAATAACATTAATATTAATCAGTAGGTTAAGTTTTAAATTACCAGCCCATCAAGTGGCTAAGTGGCTAAGTAACTAGAGGCAATAAACCTGATATTAAATCCCATTCTCCCTAACTAGCTGAAAGGCTTGACCCTAAGTAACAAACTCTGAGTCTATCTACTGTTTCCTCTATAATAAAATAAGGTCATACTGTGAGAATTAAATGCTGTATGAATTTTAATGCAGTCCCTGGCATCTAGTAGTTAGTCATTAAAGGTAGTAGCTTTTGTTGTTAATAACTATTAATAATTATTCTTAATTAATAAATACTGCATGTGAGATACTATATTAGACTCTGGAAATAAAAAATTGAAGAGCAAAAACAGTTCTGGCATTATGGAATCTACATGGTACATACATGGAAATGTTTAAAATGATAAATTACATCTGTTTTTATATAGAAACCTAACTTTTGTTTCAGCCTCAGTCTTGCCTTTGTAATCACTTTTCGGCCTTTTGGCTAAGATCAAGTGCAGTCTTGCCTTCATAGGGTTTTCTTCATATCTTGATCAGTGATCCTTCCAAAACACAGATCTGATCAGATCACTTGTTTAAACCTTTCAGAGACTACCCACTTTTGTACAGTAGAATCTAGATTCTGTTGCCTATTCCAGTAATATCTCTGACTACCTGTCCCCACTATATACCACTCCCTCCTTCAGATTAAGTTCTTGTAGATCCTTAAGTATGTCCAGACCTTCCCCATGATGTTCCCTTTGCCTGTTCTGCTTTCGTCAGTTAATTTTATGTGTTTTACTCATTCTTTCCCTCAGTTTAAATGACACTTTTTCCAGGGTGTTTTCCTTGTTCCTACCTCCCTAGATTAGAAGTGCTCTCAGTTATTCTCTACTTCTGTTCTCAAAACATGTAACACAATTTATTGTTGGTTTAATTGTCTACTTTCCTTTTTAAAGTCCTTTGAGCTATTGTGTTTGTTTACAGTTATCCCCCAAACAACTAGCATAGTACCTGGCATACAATAATTGCTAATAAATGCTTATTAAATATAAACAAATGTTATTAAGTTAACTTACTATAACCTTGCTTTAAAAAAAAGCAAATATTGTATGGCCTATCTTACTATACATATGTATACGCGTATGTGTGCATAGAAAAGTGTCAGGAAAATATTCCTCATTATCTTAATATGTTCAGATATTCTTCAGATGCTACTCTTACATTGGGATTTATATGGTTTTTATCATATAAATTGGTTTTTATATTTACTATATACTATATATATGCTATATACTATATATACTATACTATTTATATTGTTAATATAAATATAAATACATATATTGTTTCAGTTTTTTGTAATGAGCATGAGATCTATTAAAAATAGTAAATCAGGGGCCAGTATTCAGCCATTCTTCAAATGATGCCTTCTGATAATACTGTGGATTTAGTAGTAAACATGACAAGCTGTTTGGTTTTTTGACAGTATCAGTCATGGACTTTCCCACCAAATGGGTGTTCAGGTAGCACTAATATTGCTAATGCCATTTGATTGCTTTCAGTCATAGTTAAACATGGCACACTGTAGCCACTCCCTTGATATGAAAAGAGATCTGTATTTACAGCTTTGGTTCAGCTATGCCAAGATTCCTTTAATCTATCTTTATAGGATCTATTCATATGACAACTTCCTGTTATTTGTTCATTTGTTTTGTTTTATTATTTGTTCCAGAGACAAAATCCATTGACAGTAATTGAAAATAAAAATCATTCTCTTTGGGGCCTCCCCGGTGGCACAGCAGTTGGGCACTGGGTTGCGAGGCTGCCCGCAGCCTCTGCAGCGCCGGTTTGATCCCCGGCTGCTTCCTGGCCACCGGAGGAGGGTCCCACATGGCGCGCAGACCTCTCCTGCCGCCCGCTGCTCCCCTCAGCAGTGTACTTTGGTCCTTCTGCCTGCTCTGCTCCCCGCTCTGGTTCTGGTGAGTTCTCTCACCCTCCCGCGCTTCTGACTGTACCCAGTACTTGTATAAATAAATAAATAAAAATAAATCTTTAAAAAAAAAAACACTCTCTTTGACTTTCACAGCAGCATGACTGCCAAAGCTCCTATCCTAATTCACTTATCTCTACCACCATGTGGAAGCTGATGGTACCCCCCACTTACCCACATCCACCCTGCCAGCATGAATTTTACAAAGAGTAAATAACTCTCACTGGAGATTTTATTAGCTTTCCTTGGGTCTTAAAATAATCCTTTATTATGATCTATATAAGTCGTCTGTACCTAACACACTATTTTTATCACTTCAGCCACACTGACTTCTCTGTATGTTATGTTGATTGGGCTTTTTCCTGTGCAGTTCAGCTTGTGCAGAGTCTGGGCCTGTCCCACTTCACTTTTCATGTATGTCTGAGCTTAAACATCACTTTCTTAAAGATACTTGATTGGTTCAGATCCCACTGTTATAGGTTATCATAGCAGATTCCTATCCTTTGAAGACAACCATGTTCGCAGTTTCATATGTACTTGTGTGATTTTTTTTTTAAGAGATTTATTTATTTATTTGTACAAGCACTGGGTACAGTCAGAAGCGTGGGAGGGTGAGAGAATTCACCAGAGCCAGTGCGGGGAGCAGAACAGGCAGAAGGACCGAAGCACACTGCTGAGGGGAGCAGCGGGCGGCAGGAGAGGTCTGCGCGCCATGTGGGACCCTCCTCCGGTGGCCGGGAAGCAGCCGGGGATCAAACCGGTGCTGCAGAGGCTGCGGGCAGCTTCACAACCCAGCGCTCAACCACTGCACCACCGGGGAGGCCCCTTGTGTGATTATTTGATTAGTATCTCTCTCCTACTATTCTCAAGCTCCAGGAATGCAGGAACTTTGTCTCATTTTA